GAAGTAAATTAAAGAACAGAGCAGAGTAACAGCACAAATGACAAATGTGCACTGGAAGGCACTTCGACACCTAGAATTTTCCCCTCTAACTGTGAGAAGTCTCGTGACACGTGGAGGTACAGCCCAATCTGACAGCTTCTTATTTCGCCTTTTGAGTCTGTTTGTGTTAGCTGTGACAGGTCTTGATCACTTTAACACATCTCTCCCCATGTTCTACTCATAAATCACAGTTTATACGCACACAAGCTGTGGCCTTTGCCTCCGGAGCTTGATAGAGAGCATTGTTACTCTTCGGCGGTGGAATATCGGTCCATCACCCCCAACCCCTTCCCATCCTGTAGGAAAGCAAACAAACAATTGTGATGGATATTTCGGATATGTGTTTGGCATGCTGTGGTTTTGGAAGTTCTCCATGCCTTTCTATTGCACAGGGCCGTCAGATCTGCTAAGTCATTTAATGGCAGCGTCCCACTGCTTTACGGATCTGGCTGCGGGAGTTTACTCCAGGCCCACTTCACCATGAATGAGAACCCAACTCTGTTTCCTGTGCAGGTTGGGAAGCTAATCCAGGAAGCTGCCGGAAGGAGCAATCTGAAAAGAGTGACGCTGGAACTGGGGGGGAAGAATCCCAACATCATTTTTGCAGATGCTGACTGTAAGTTTGCATACCATTTATCATCAGCTTCTTGTCTTCTCCCGTTAAGGTCTGGAGGAGGTCTAAAACATGCGGCAGGTGCTTTCAAGGCCAGCTCAATCAGCAACTGGATCACTTCAAAAGACTACAAGATTGGGGGAAAATTATGTCCTCGACTGAACTCTGTTTGCTAATGACCGATAGTGCTCGTCATTCCCAACTACACGTGTTAATATGGGGATGATTTCAACAACCATTTTTTGGTATTAAATTTACTTAAATAGCAAGTGGTGATTTATTTCAAGGTAAAAAAAAATGTCATTGCTTTAAAACATTCTTATATTGAAGTAAATTGAGGAGGTATGAATCAGGCTAATAACCGTACAGCGAATCAGCTACGGTGAGTTTTCAAAGGATGGTTTCGGTTACTCCGCAAATTCTTGTTTTTTTTAGATTTATATCTTCCCATAACAATATTCACCTCGGACAGACTCAGATGAAAGGGCTGATCTTTATGTACTGGCTCCAGATTTCCAGCTGGGATGATGAAAGTCGAAGAAGGCGTAACTCAGAGATTTGCCAGTGTCAATACGAGACTCTGCATCTTGTCTCCTGCAGTCACAGAAACCACTGAATTAATGGCTCTCGCGCAGGCACTAAGTGGCTTTCCAAATTGGGGAATCAGTGCTTTCAAATGCTTTCAGCAGCTGCAAGCCCTGCTCCCGGAGGCCCATAAATTAGCGAAATGGAGCCTGCCCTTGCTGCAAGCATCAGGCGAGGTCCATAAATTACCAGGCCCCGTTAACCCCTCCCTTACCAATGGAGGTGCTCGGGTCTCAGATTTCGGGTGTCAATGGTACAAAGGGAATTTAACTAGGCAAGACAACATTGCAGAGATATCAACTGTACTGCTGGAAATATTGATTCCAGCACCCAGTTTTACTCCTTGTGTAACAAATGGCTTTCACTAAAGTGCACGAGAAATAAATTTTGCTGTGCTGTCATGTCACGCGACAACCATTTTTACCCAAATAGCTCATGCAATATGCCGTTTTTCCAAGATACTTGCTTTTCATTTGCAGAACGAAGACTTCTTCTTTTGTGCGAGTTTATTTACTTTCGAGTTTCTCGCATCTCAGTCTATCAGCATTTATGTCCTGCCAGTATATTTGAAAATGATTTAAAGGCTGTCAAATTCTACCGTGCCGGGTTTCGATAATTCTGTAAAGTCTATAGATTTGTGAATCGAAAACCTTTCCCTCTCTTCCTCTCCTTCCTCAGTGAACATGGCCGTGGAGCAGGCCCACCAGGGCGTCTTCTTCAACAGCGGCCAGTGCTGCACCTCTGGTTCCCGGATCTATGTGGAAGAGCCTGTCTATGAGGAGTTTGTGCGCAGGAGCGTGGAGAGAGCCAAGAGGAGGATCTTAGGAAGCCCGTTCGACCCCACCACAGAGCAAGGCCCTCAGGTGAGGAGCGAGCAGGACTGGGAGTTCAGCAGCGGCAGAGGAACTCCCTCAGCACGAGTTACTGAACCTGCGGAGAATTCTTCCACATCTTTCACTGAAGAAAGGACTGTCTTATAAATGTTCTTAATGTTGAGGTGACACGAAAAATTATAGAATCTTTATCACTGTCATTTTGAAAATATAATAGATACATTTATCAGAGAAGTTCCTTTGGAAACGGTTTCTCTTTTTCAACGGTGCCCTGAAAGAAATGCCAGCAAGAACAGTCGCAAGTTGTTGATAGCAATGAGTCCCTGGAGTAGTTTTGGGCTTAAGAGCCTTGTCTACGGGCCCAACGGCAGAGATACTTCTTGTCAAGTGAAATTTTTTAACCCAACTGGTGAAGCAGTCTTTCGCTATCATTGGCAAGATTTTCTTTTATTCATCAAGAAAATGGGAAAAGATAAGATTTTAAATCTTACTCAAAACAGAGGTCAAAATGCTTGATAGAGGCTATAATACTCATTCTTGGGTTTTGTGGTGCTTTTCGCCTGAAAATGAAGCCATGCATATGTTACTTAGGAGAACATACCCGAACACAGTCTTGTTGACTGGACTTCGTGTCGGTTTTTGTCTACTTTGCTCATTAGCCTCCAGGCAGATCAAAGTGTGAAATGGAAATAAATTACCTGATGGTGCAAGCCTACAATCTGCTTTACCAATGTAACCTGTTAACCCTTTGAGCACCGAATACATTTTCAAGGAATTAAAAATGTATTTATCCTGAGCTGTTGAAAACCTATCATGTGGCAACTTGTTTAAAAGAGCTCCCAGGGAGCTCTTTTAAACAACTTGCCACCTGATAGGTTTTCAACAGCATCTGACTTTGATATCTCACATCATTGGGCAACTATAGTTGCCCACGGAGCTGAAAGGGTTAATAGTTGCTTACTTGAGGTATTCCCATTACCTGCTTGTGTGATGTCCTGGCCGGTGTGTAAATTAGACCTTTATCTCTGATTCTAGATCAGTCAGGAGCAGCAGAGCCGTGTTCTGGAGTACGTCCAGATTGGAATCAGTGAGGGAGCTCGGCTTGAGTGTGGTGGCAAAGCTCTGGGCCACAAGGGCTTCTTCATTGAACCGACCGTCTTCTCAAACGTCAGCGACGACATGCGCATCGCCAAGGAGGAGGTAACAACAGCTTGGCTAAAGGGGAGAACCTGCGCGTGACAGGCATGGCGCCAGGATTTTTTCTCTCCTGGTGCTAATGGGGGGCTTGACCAAAACTTGGGGTGCTAAGAAAACAGTCAATATTCGTGACTTCAGAGTTATTTTTAATATTTTATTAGACAGTTTTTTATTTTTTCAATAAAAGCAGATAATGGTGCATAAAGCACATTTGATATAAATGTAGTTTTTGATTAAATTTGCCCAAAGAATATTCAGCAAAATAGCTATAAGCCTAATACAAGCGACCACAAGGCAAAAACGTCTCCAGCACCGGAAAGCACCATCTGAGCCACAGTTAATAACACCACAATTCAAAATGTACTCATGCATCGATGAGAATGGCAAAGCATTTGACCTTGTCACTGTCTGCTGAGTTGTGCCCGCGGCAAATTTGTAAATGCTCGTCTGACAAAAACTGTGTAAGTGCTCCACAATACGCAAAATTACAAGTAAACTAACTGGTCTGCGGCGGAAGTTCAATATTCTAGCTATTTTTATATGAATATATATATTCATGTATGAAATCGGTGACTGGTTAGTCCGAGTGCAAGATGATTTATTTTCATTAGAGTACGATATAAAGATGAGATAAGCTGCGATTCTTATCGATTTATCGTCCGTTTTCTTTGGGGCTCTGATAATTGGCCAGCGGTCAGCAGAATAGTATTTTGTCGATTGCAGCAAATGTTCAAAATACTGATTCAGAAACTGACTGGTACGCCTCCCCAATGTACTCCAGCGACGACCATAGGCTTTATCAGGGCAATGCCTCAAATATGTGTCTGTGTCACGAACAGTCTAACGGTCACAAAGCAGACTGTAATTTTTGGGCTAATAACGTCGGGCATCGTCCTCACTCTCAAGGTGCGTTTCCATTTAATACCCTTAGAAATGCGCAAAATCTAAATAGCGAAATAAAAAAAAAAACGGTAATGGAAACACAGTGATATCACGAAATTTGCTCTCCGATCTGCAGTATTAGTCACCGAAGCCAAGGCCTAATAAATACACTATTGGACTTCTGCAGCAGACCAGCTAGTGTACTAGTGTAATTTTGCGTATTGTGGAGCACTTACATTGTTATTGTCAGACGAGCATTTACAAATTTGCCGCATGAACAACTCAGCTGACAGTGGCAAGGTCGAATGCATTGCCATTCTCATCGATGCATGAGTACAGCCGAGCTGTGATTGGCTGATGGCATGTACAATGGTACCACTGCCGATCTGTGATTGGCTGATGTAGGCAATGGTACCTACTGACCCGCAGAAAAATATTCGCAGCCTGACGTGCCATGCAAGCGCAGACAGTAGCCCCCCCCCCCCCCCCCCCCCTCCCCACACACACACACACACACACACACACAAACCGCGCGACACGAGCACGCAGCTAGCAATCAGACTGGGAACAGGATGGCGAGTAATTACCTTTTACATATTCCTTTATTCAAATAAATTAACTAATTAATTACTTTATTTTAAAAAATGCTTGAGGGGGCTTAACTGGGGCTATATAGATTTGTGATGGGGCTATAGCACCCCCTAGCCCCGGTGTAGCGCCGTACCTGGTGTGCGAGAGGGATGCTTCTTGCTGCCTGGATGACTGGCTGTTGTGAGACTAATCTAGAACTTTCACCTCTGTGACTGGCAATCACTCCATCCATCAGTTGTGCGCAGAAATGCATCTGGTAAAGCATGGTGGTGCAGCGGTTAGCACTGCTGCCTCGCAATAAGGACGTTCCGGGTTTGAGCCCTGGCCGGCCAGTGCCTCTCTGCGTGGAGTTTGCATGTTCTCCCTGTGTTCGCGTGTGTCTCCTTCAGGCACTCCGGTTTCCTCCCACCCAAAAAAACATAGATTATAGGAACACTCCTACCAGTGCCCTTGACAGAGGAACTGGCTTTAGAACTGGAGTTGGTCCCCAGGCGCTGCTCAGTGGCTGCCCACTGCTCCTAACCATAAGATGTCTTAAATGCATGATACAAATCCCACAGGGTTCAACAAAGTATATCTTATCTTATGGTCGAGTGCTTGCCCAACAAGCACATATAGTACCAAGAAACTGCGCCAGGAGCTTTTTTTGCCATGACATTCCAACTGCGACTCTGGTTTCTCACTTTTTTCTTCAATCATCTTCACCTCTTTTGGCAGATATTTGGTCCGGTCCAGCAGATCATGAAGTTCAAAACTATAGAGGAAGTGATCGAGAGGGCCAACAACTCAAACTACGGGCTGACTGCTGGCGTGTTCACCAATGACCTCAACAAGGCCTTGACCATGTCTTCTGCCCTGCAGGCTGGCACTGTTTGGTGAGGAACCCTCACACATCCGTCACTGTCAGTTTAGTTCAGTAAATCACCCATCATGCTAGACAAAATCTTTGGCAGCTTTGTTTTCATCGCTGATCAACTAGCCCTTTTCTTGAGACTCCTCTAAAAGAACAGACTTGGAGCACACGCTCACCAACGTTCTAATTTGTGTCGTTTTTGCCAGTGTAAACGATCTCCCCCTTGAAAGCAGCTCTCAGATAGCATTACATAAAGAAATGATTTGAAGAAAAACAGAGAAGAGAGGACCCAGAGAGTGATACTGATCGCTTTGTATATTCCACAGGATAAACTGCTTCAATGCGCTGAGCAGCCAGTGTCCTTTTGGAGGATTCAAAATGTCTGGAAACGGACGAGAACTGTAAGTACCCCATAGCCCCTAACCCTACCCCCTAACCCTGCCCCCCAACTCTGGCTCAGTGTCAGAGAGTACGAGCAGAAGCCAAGCTGCTAACACACTGAACATGTTTCTCTCAGCCTTGGAATAGTCTGGAGAAGAGTTTACAATGTGCGTTTTCTACACTTGACTGACACACTTCGCAATGCACCATGTCTGTGTAAGGAGTTCTCATTTGGGTATCTTGACGACGATCTTTGAATCCCAAATTACTGCACAGACACACCTGATGCACAATCTGATACAGCAATCTAAGTGTTGTTCAGGGATCAACGAAAAAAAGCTTGTGAAGGAACACCATGATAGTCAACCAATCAACAACAGCTCTGATGCTGCACTTGCATGTTATTCATTTTACTTGCCTAAAGTTTGCTAGCTAAGGTAAGCAAGCTTTTCATGCAGAGGAGTGGATATCTACAGACATACAAGTTATCAAGAAAACCTCAAATTGTTTTTCTTTTACAAATTTGATATAATTTCCGCATCACTTTCGCTTTTAAATTGCTCAACTTTAGGGACTTTGCTGGTTCAAACTGCTAGCCGACGCCCTTGCTAGTCGCATGCGTGGTTTCTTCATCACACTGGAGCTGCCATTCATTAATGAACCATAATGTTACTCCTGGATGAACATTATTTTGTAGATCTCGGAGCAACACTTACACGGTGATATCAGATCGTGCCAGATGGACTATAAATGTGCACATGCATGCATGCACTTGTTCACAAGCCAGTAAACCCACACACGCTTTGGTCTATGATATTGGACGAAATTCAGTTTTATTTTTAACAGAAGATTATCCAAAGATGCTTTACAGAGTGAAACGTTCTTTTACGGTCACTTAAATTTAATTTGGTTTTCCCTGGTTTTGTTTTGTTTATCTTCTACTGATGATGTATTTTCTGCTGTCCGAAAGTTCAATTTATAATTTTTCAGCATGACACTGACATGCATACATGCCATGCGCACCTGGAAATACTCTCTCTCTCACACACACATACACACACACACACACACACAAATACACATGTGCACATACATACACTCTCAGACTCATATACTCACACACACATATATACTATGTTATACGTCATTATTACTGTGTTCCTTTACAACCAAAATGGAGGACTCTGAGATGCCAACTGTGCAGTGAAGAGAGTCGTGCGTTTCTGTCTTTCAGGGGCGAGTATGGACTGAGGGAGTACTCGGAGATGAAGACCGTCACAATGAAGCTTCAGGAGAAGAACTCCTAAGAAGCGTCGTGCCGTAGGGGGCCACACCTACGGTCAGCTCAACTAACCGTCCATCTCCATTAACTATACTAAAGCACTCGGAGAGGTGATCTACTGACCAGTCCTCCCAGCAGCGGAAACAGGAAATACACAAGCACGCCAGCACACACGACACACACGCAGCCACACAAGTCAGTGTGACCACCACTTTGCCCCCTACTGTTAACTTATTGGAATGCGTGGAGACTGAGGGGGTACGACTGTATCAGTTTTTGTGACCAATGCCCATCGCCCGAAACACCGAAGTGTCATTGCCTTAATTCATCCACCAGTGTTTGTTTTAGCTCACGACTAAAACTACTGAAACTTCACTTCTTCTTAAAAATGTTAAGAGGAAAATTAATTGACTTCTGTGTTTTAATGAGTTTTTTAATTGCCAGTGATTTTACTTATTTTACTACTAAACACTGTGTATCACTTTGTACCAACAATATTGTACCAACAATATAAGAAGTATTTCTGACCAGTGTTGAAATGGAAAGCAACTGGTTAACCTAAACATATCTTTCTTAGCTATCTGCTGAAGGAAAAGTTGATCCTTGTCTTACATAAATGATTGTGTTGGTGTTTGTCTGTTATCATGTTTATACAAGTATGTACTATGAAAAAATAAGAACTAAGAAAATATAAGAATTACTATAGATTTTTTTCATTAAAAACTTCTTTCCAAAAAGAAAAGAGGATTAATTGTGTTTATTTCTCATGGGCATAAAATGGGGTCACTGTTCATTGCATCAGAGCGGTTTCCTGATTCACACATGAGTTACCTCAGCTCTGACACAGTACTCATGAGGTCACAATTTACTGTTCCGTTCTGGAGGGAGATCTAAGAGCAGGGGGCTGTCCATAGCCTGTAGCTATGTTTCATATTTAACCATCTGCAGCAATGAATTAAGCAATCTCTCTCTCTCTCTCTCTCTCTCTCTCTCTCTCTCACACACACACAAACTCACTTTCAAGAAGAAAAGCAAGCAGAAGTACTTATTCAGTGCTTTTCATTTCATTTCATTCATCTCTGGACATTGTTTTCTTACTACCGTTAGCTAAGACTTATTCTACGGTAGTTTACGTAGGGCTACAGGCTACCGAGTATCATGACCGCCTTTCGATGATTTGAAAAGTTAGCTAGGATGCTCAAGAATTAAAAAGTTTGTTGAGTGTATTCCGCAGCGATTACTCGGTGATCGCTGTTGGCAAAAAAAGTACATCACAAGCCTAGTTAATGATGTTGGTAAGATCTTAAAAGTACCTAGCTTTACTAGCTGGCTTGCAATGCATCGACGCAATGTAGGTACATAGATTGCATACGCTTTCCGTGAAGCTGCCGCTCTTCAACCAAAGTCAAAATTCTATCTCGCACCTGTACTCATTCACATACCTAAAACTGACGTGACTAGCTTACCGGTTGCAACATCCCGACCCTTCTGAGCCCTCCAGCTCACACCTGCAACCAGAAGCTGCAGAAATATTCATTGCGGGACACGTTCCTGTTCAGGTTGCTGAGCCGTTGTGAACAATAGCGGAGTTTCTTACTGGCAATTTTGAGTTTGAGGGCGGCAGGGAAGCCGGATGCATGCCTGTAATCCACAATTGTTCACTGACCATAAAGCCAGCTGACAACCACAGGAATCTTGCTACAGAGGTAACACGTTTCAATGTCATAGCGCAATTGGCTCAGTGGTGCTATTACTGTTGGGGACCATAATAAACAAGGACTCATTTCGGAATCCACAACAACAATAATAATATTAATAATAATAATAAAACAAGTTTCAGCTCGAATGGATGTAATTTTTGTTGGACAAATGCTTACTTTTATTCTGCACTTTTCTGGAAGCCCTATTGATGTTATGGTTTTTTTTTCTTCTTTTCAATCATCATTTCCATAAAAATATTGTATCTATCATCTTTAATTATATTCCCCAGCAGCTGGGAACAAACAGCACCCTGCTTCTGGGGTTAATGCATCTTTGTTTTTGCATTGCTGTCTTCAATAGTATTTCGGAGGTTTAACTTTTCAAATGGCCTAAGGCAAGACGTCTACGACAAAAAAATATCAAGAAATTCTTTCCATTTAACTACAAGTGAAGTAAAATCAAGCTGCACTGGGTCAAACTGGAAAGAAAGGTCAGACGGAAGCAACAAACAAGTGCAGGACATCTGTTGAAGCTTCTACAGAAACTTCTGGGTAAACTTTCAGAACCATGTCTCGATTATGACAAATCCTTTCCTCGAAAAATGAATAGGGAATGTTTTTATTTAATTCTTTTGTCTGACTCTTTGAAAACCGTGAGCGAACTCATACTGTTGACTGGTGCTGTAAGTGACAGCGCTTGGCCACGCCGTGACGGAGCAGCAGACCAGATGTGTGCACCCTTCTCCAGAGCTCTCCCTCGGCAATTGCATCTTAATGTCAAGACAGATTTTCTCACAATTCCCTTGGTAGAGTCTATGTCTGTCCATAACTAATAGAGCAAGCTACGAAGGAGGGAAAGTGAGAGATGATAGAATTAAAGAATAACCTTCAAGGTAACGACTTGCAATAGTATGCGAGCCGTAGTTACATCAACTTTTCCAAGGTGACAGTGAAAGCCTTTGCAGGGAATCACACAAAAGTAATTGTGAAGACAGTATAGAGACAGACAACTTCAGGTATTTTCAATAGAAAAGTTTGTAGCACTAGAGATGGAGGTTTTATGACAAATCCCACCCCTTCCCCACAATAGCTAATCATCTGTTATATACAGCTGAA